ACCTTGCTTATGCTGTGAGTCACTGAGAAACATCACGACTCTGGTCTGTAAGTAGCTATAGTGAATCTCCAGTGCATATAGCAGAATCATAATAATGACTTTAAACTTTTGAAATTTATTTAATTTTGATATATATTATAAATACGAAGTATGACCAAGCAAAGGCTGAAGAGTTCAAGCTTTTGTGCCTTTATTAAAAATATCTAAAAGCTGTTTCCAATATGAAGGATTCTATTTTATATGCATTTTTCAGTTTTCACAAATAAACTGGCTGTATACCAGCTGGAGAATAAGATTCTATGTACATATATATTTATTTAAAAAACAGGATACTGCACATTTTAACTATTCATAATAGGTTTATTCCTTTGTTTTCCAGTTTGAAGATTTGTGTTCAGTATATTTTTATAAAATACACAATTTTTTATTTTTTTTTTAAATATTGAGATTGGGACTACTGACTGAATTTAGTATTCATTATTTTTGAGTCCAGGAAAAAAAAAATCAAGGTAAAATATATATTTTGAAGGGCTTAGGTGAGCTATTCATGTTCAATCAGGCTGTGAATGTCCATGATTCATCTTCTTAAAATGAATATGCTCTCCCTTTGATTAAACATACTACATAATCTTATCTTAAAAACTAAGGATATAATTTTAGCGTTGTTTTCAGAAGATTGCTTTGCTCTATAAACTCACCGAATGACACTGGTTTAAATGATGACAGTGGGAATTTCGCCATTGACCTCAGTGTGGCCAGTATTTTCCTTATCATGGAAATTGTTTCAGAATTAAAAACCTTGTCTAAGAGTCTTAAAACTTTTTGAAAAACAGTTTTTATTTCAAGCTGTCTTCCTTTAGTTACATAAAGCTTGGATTATCACAGTGGTTTATACAATGCAAAACAAGCAATATAAAATTTAAAAAATTTAAAATCAAAGGCTATTTTGCTACTTTTTGTGACAAATCTTTAAACTTTTGCTGTATTCAGTTTGATGGCTTATAAAGAAAAATAGCATATGCAGTGAAATCTGTCTTTACTATCAAGACTGTCATCTACTCATCCATCTCCTTAAAAATAGTAACTTGATTTAAAAATTAAAGGGAACTCCATTGTATTATCAGTAAAATATTTAATCATTAGAAAGAAATAGTGATCACTTAGTTCTGAGAAAGCTTATGCTTTGTTTGCATGTTTTTATGATTTGCATGGCAGATATTTCAAGTTGTTATACACTAGGGCCTAGAAACAAAATATTCTCTGATATTGCTGTTGGGATTTCTGTACAGAAACTTTTCATGCAGGCCAGAAATGGAAATTAAATCAATAGTCATAGCCGTAAAGTTTGTGTACTCATACAGCAAATTAAAACGACAACTTTTCAAAGTAAAATACATCCTTAGGGCCTTTTGATTTATTAACACAGAGATATAAATTCTGTATTTGCATCAAAAGAGTTTGGCCCAAAACTTCTTAATAAATTTAGCATTTGATAAATTACAGTACTTATAAAAGATAGCATTTTTCCGTATAATGACCGAACACTTTGTGTTTTGATTGAACAGCTGTGCTTTTTATAAGCAATGTGCTTTTGTAAAATTTAAACTGTATTTGTAATTAAAGAGAAATTAATAAACATTGTTTCACAAAATGCTAATAAATCAGTGTTGAAGCAATTAACTTACCTGCGCCACCAAAGATGAATTATAATGCAAAATCTTAAGACAAACCTTGAAATTAAAAGCAGTTATGGTTACAATTAAATCCATGGTAACCTGTAATAGGAATAATGGTATTAAAAGATCTTTTTCCCACTTACCCAATTTGGTTTCTTTTAAATGCAACAATCAGTAGGAACTGTGTCAGGATCCTCCCTGAGAAGAATTTTTGCATCTTCAGCGGAGCTGGGTATGGTCTACAATCGCCTTCCACTTTACAGTTAAGCTTCAAATTCTGATTGTTTTGGCCTGATCAGAAAGCAAACCTCCATTAAAACTTGTGAACCATTTTCTGGACAGCCATCTCACCCCCATTAAGCTGACAAAGGTATATTGGCATTGTGTGCTATGTTTTATATAATGTGAACTAGCCCTCGCAGGCCTTGCAGTGGATAGAAGGTTTGAATGAGCCTGCAGTGTGGCAGGAATGTTCTGCTCCAAGTACCTCCTCAGTCTGTAACTTACATGTAAATGTAGATGCAGTTCACGGTGCCAGCAGTGTGCCCAGGTGGCCAAGAAGGCCAATGGCATCCTGGCTTGTATCAGGAATAGTGTGGCCAGCAGGAGCAGGGAAGTGATCATGTCCCTGTACGCCACACTGGTGAGGCTGCACCTCGAATACTGTGTTCAGTTTTGGGCCCCTCACTACAGGAAAGACATTGTGTTGCTGGAACGTGTCCAGAGGAGAGCAACCAAGCTGGTGAGGGGTCTGGAGCACAAGGCTTACGAGGAGCGGCTGAGGGAACTGGGGTTGTTCAGCCTGGAGAAAAGGAGGCTGAGGGGAGACCTTGTCACCCTCTACAGCTGCCTGACAGGAGGCTGTAGTGAGGTGGACGTCAGCCTCTTCTCCCTGGTAACGGGCGATAGGATGAGGGGAAATGGCCTCAAGTTGCACCAGGGCAGGTTTAGATTGGACATTAGGAAAAATTTCTTCACAGAAAGGGCTGTCAAGCACTGCAATTGGCTGCCCAGGGAAGTGGCTGAGTCCCCATCCCTGGAGGAAAGAGACAGGCAGATGAGGTGCTTAGGGACCTGGTTTAGTGGTGGGATGGCAGGGTTAGGTTAATGGTTGGCCTGGATGATTTTAAAAGGTCTTTTCCAACCTAAATGATTCTACGATTCTAGGTTTCCTTATCTCCAACTCTGCATTCCCGCCTCAACCCCCAGCCTCCAACTGTGCGTAACCCTGTTTGTGCAGGCGCCTTGCGAGCTGGTTTAGAAAGCTGATTCAACTCAAACCTAGCCGAGTTAAATGCCAAAATTAATTAGTTCATTTGTTATTGACTAGAAGAGCTTTAATACCAACAGAGTTCCTTCCCCTCTACTCCCTCTGAAACGACGACTTGAATAATTTCTACTCCCCTGAAAGGAAGGCTGGGAATGCATGCCTCCCTCACACTCCCACACTGCCACCGGCAAATGCGAGGAGAAGCTGTGTGTGTGACTGAGTGCATGCCTTACGCTGCAGACCTGCCCTGCCCGGCCATTTCCCCTGTTCGTAGCTGGCTGCACCCGTCCTTCATCCCTGCATTTCTGCCGCTCTGTTCTCCTATTTGTGCTTGCAAAAGGAATTCCACGGTATAAGGGCTTACCCATAAAACTAGGCAGACTTTTTCAGGGATTAATGTAAATATATCTCTGTATTTAGAATCGGTTTGTAACTTAATATGCCTCTATAAAAAAGTAAGGCTTTGGCCATATTATTTATAATATTTGACTTTTATAATCCTATTGCCCTATTATTACGTGATTCGTTAAGACCAATTCTTGCCCCAATACACAATTAGTATTTGAAGCACAGCTTTTAATGTTGGGTTTAAACCACTTATTGTGTGTTTTCATTCATAAAATCCAAGACCTAGAGTGCAGCTATACAGGCAGCTAATACTCTCATTTTTATCTAGCAAAATTTGCATACTAAAAATTGAAAGTGAAACTTAACATACTTGCACGATTTATTACTTTTCCACATTGCAGGCAGACATCCTGCCAAACACATGCACCTGTGTATTGGTGAAAAAGCTAACTGCACTGAGGTCCTCGTTACTGGTTTCTTTTGAGAGCAGCGGGATCAGCCCTGAAGGATGGTGTTTGAACATAGTCACAAGCCACATAATATACTAAAAAGTGGAGGCGTTTACAAGAACACTCTCTGGGGTGACAAATAGCCGCTGTGCTGTTCACAGTGCTTAAGCAGTCACAGAATCCTGCTTCCCCTTTCTTTCACACTCCATTCTTCCTGACACAAACTCATTTTTTTTTTCTCTTGACCTTCTGCACCACTGATAAACTCAGCTCAGAGAGCCTGGATAATTTTTTTTATTATTATGCATTGGTTCTGTATTGCTCTGTCCAACTCTTTTTCTTTCATCTTTCCTTTTAGAAAAATTTGCAATGACAAATCCAATTTCCAAATACTACAGAAGTTCACCTTTGTGTAAAAACTGACTGCAAAATAAATGCATAGGTACCAGTCAGAAATACTGTGGCAGTGGGAAGCATTGACTTGAACTAATTTTTTTTCAAGTTCTGTCCCATCAAATCTTTTTCCAGAGGTTACCTTGACATTTTGCTGCTGGTGTAATCATGTATAGAATCATAGACTCATTTAGGTTGGAAAAGACCTTTAAGATCGAATCAAAAAGGTACATGTCCTATGGAAAAATCCCACAGATGTGTGTTCTGCTACTGGGGACAAAACATAAACAAGTTGTAACACATAGCAATGCAGTAATCATAGAGGGGCAGCATGAAAGCCAGAAAACCAATGGAAAGTTTTT